GATTGTTTACGTACCCATGTCGGAAGAAACTGCTAGGATACAGCTGCAGAATTGGAGCGGGTTCCAAGAGATTCAACTGGCAGAAACAACTCATACCATAGGTTCACACACACACGCGCGCGCGCGCACGCGCACAAACACTCAAACGTAGGAAAAGAGCTGAGAAAAGGCAGAGAGGAAATGGAGGACACCAAGTGTTTAAAAGAAAAACTACAGCTGAGCCGAGGCGCGCCTCGACTGGGGCGCGTCTGATCTGAACTGAGGAGCGGCGAGCAGCGGCCGAATTTCGTGAGCGATTCGCTTCTCGGCGCTTCGCGGCGCTTCCGCGGCCGGTGTGTCCCCGGCGTAAACCTCACGCCTAAGCCTACAAAAGGGGCTCACACCATATTAGGACCGGGTTTTGGTCCTAATATGGCCCATCGGTCTTCAGAAGATTAGTGAATATGCCAGTTTTGGTCCTTAGTAGAATAGTTGAACAAGTACACACACACACACACACACACACACACACACACACACACACACACACTCCTCAATAGTGAGTATTCCTTCTTAAATGTTGAGAATTTGAAAGGAAAGAAGCCTGTTACTCTCCTCATAACTGTTGATTCGTAATGACACAAATCCTTTACGGTCCATTCAGGAAAAGTGATGAGAGTAGATTCATTGTAAAATACCATTTAGTGAAACTGTCCCTAAATAAAAGAATCACCAGACTGACGGTGGTCGGAGAGGACAAGGGAGAGACAAACACAGACAGACAGGACCAGTCATCATTTTTAAAACAGACAATATAGGTTATAGCATCAAAACCAGAACGTCCCAACACAGAGAGTAAAGAAAGTAAAGTGGTCATTACGTCCTTCAGCAGCCTAAGCCTATAGCAGCATAACTGAAGGCATGAGTCAGGATAACCTAAGCTAGATTAGCTTAATAATTAAACCTAAGATGATTAAGAATACTTGAACCAGTTTACTGCCGTAAAGCTGAAATAGGAAATCTACAGAACAAGCTAGCTTTTAAACCCAAACACGGTCACAGAACTCTAACCCTTCCTGTCAGATATCTCCTCTAGGCTATGTTTACCGGACACTGAAACCCACTTTGCCACGGTAAACGAGATAGCGCTAAACACCAGTCGCTGTTTTCTATGTCCAAAGGTCTTTTGTTGTCCGTGTCCGTTTTTCTTCTCAGTGACCTTTGGGATGAGGGATTCCACCCCTAAGGGAAATTTAGTCAACTCCTGTATTCCCCAGAGTTAGGTAAGCTTCGACCTCCATGTTATATCCATGCACCGGCGGCTTCCTTGTCCTCCCAAGTCTAAATCAGCTCCTAGAAATCATTCGTGTCTTACTTTTTTTTGCAGGCGACATGATTATTGAGCTCACCAGGAATAATTGGTATCATTGTTGACTAATTTTTATCACTTTTATACACAAAATGCTAGTTCCTGCTATTCACATACATTATTTATGCTAAGCTCACTGCGCTGGTTTCAAAATGCTTTTTTCTTACTTATCTAACTCTGGGGAATACGGAAATAGACAAAATTTTACTCAGGAGTGGAATATCCCTATAAGGGGTTGGATTGGGGGGTTAAACCACCAAATAGTTCTCATATACAGCTGCAGCTCACCTCTCCCCTCAGAGATGGGTCAAATACAGAGATGAATTTCATCAGTGTGTGATGACTAATGGGAATTTAACATTAGATGGTGTTTTTCTTTAAGGACTCTGGTCGTTTGTCCTAAAGTTGAAGTGGTAGCAGCTGGCTGTTTCTCCTTCTCTGATATTGTTGAGCAGAGATCCTCTCACACCAGTGGTGTTCTGGTGCTGAATACGTGAGTGTGACGTAGGGGTGGGCAATAAATCGAAATTCATTGTTATCGAAATTTCTGACTCTTATTGTGATAATTTTTCTCATGTCAACAAATTTGATAATAAAAAATGAAAAGATGTGTGTAGGTTGGCAACGTTCATGTCCCTTTCAGAAGTTGTACCACCTTGAGTCACGTAAAAATGTGACTCAATGTAATTCACGTGACAGCCCCATCTAGTAGACAACTTTTGTTTCTGCACATACCTGTAGTTATCATCCATTTATCGTTAGAGGTGAAATCCTCAGTATATCATAGGGATGCACCGATGGATCGGCATTTGATCCCAATCGGCCGATAGCGCCCCTATCGGTTTTGATCTGAGTTTTCAAAATAGATCAAAGCAGACCGATCAGGTAGAGTTGCCACGGTAACCGGTGTAGCGATAAACCCCGGTAAACAAAATTGACAATAATAATAACCGTCTTGTTTTAAAAAAAAACTATATTATCTTGGTGGGATTACCGTGTCTGCGGTGTAGGCGCGGTGACCCTTACCAGCCACCGTATCATCTGCTGAAGTTGCCGGCGGCACATGCGCGCTTTGCTGTTTACAGCCAAAACTTTCTTGAAGCTAAAGCTGAAATAATGGTCAAAGGAGGAGACGGCAGCGCTCAGGAGGACATTTTTTATCCCTCAAAGAAGACAAAGTGAGAAGTATGGGCATCTTTTAGATATTTGAAGAATGCCGAGGGAGTTTATAGAAGACGGACGGCTATCCTGTTTGCAGCACGTGCAGAAAAAGTGTCTGTGAAAGGCAGCAACGCTTCAAATCTCATGACACATCTGCGTGACCATCACCCACAACTCTACAGTCAACGCAAGGCAAGCTAACGGTAGCGTTTTAGCTAAAATGCGTGATCCGAGGATTTGGGTTGAGGGAGAATGCAACGAGTCGCTATATAAAGCAGCCGCAGTGCCGCTACCTGCATATAAACCGTGTCGCGGACACCGCCATGTTGAAATGACGCTATGCATTACGGGGCTCCCAGGGGCAGATAAGAGTTGGTCTCTCTCCGAGAATAATTATGAATTTAACAATGATTACTGCCTGATGACATTTTCCCACATCTGCAAAGCTCACTGGAAGGACACAAACCGAGGACAATATTTTCCTGATATAGGGTTTAGCACTCAAGTAAGGGTAAAAAAAGTATCTGATTAGAAGACTACTTGAGTACTGAGTATCATCTGATCTAATATTTTTAAAATGACGACATCAAACAGACATAAAATAAGAAGTTATGGACAAATATTGGTATTTTAAAGGCTAAAGGGGAAAAATGTAAACAAATGAACAACATAATTACAAAATAACACATTTTAGGCAAAATTTAGACACAAACTGAGGAAAATATTTTCCTTATATAGGGTTTAATACTCAAGTAAGGGTAAAAAAGTATCTGATTAGAAGGCTACTTGAGTACTAAGTATCATCTGATCTAATATTTTTTAAATGACGACATCAAACAGACATAAAATAAGAAGTTATGTGCAAATATTGGTATTTTAAAGACTAAAGGGAAAAAATGTAAACAAATAAACAACATAATTACAAAATAACACATTTTAGGCAAAATTTAGACACAAACTGAGGACAATATTTCCTGACATACAGGGTTTATTTAATTGTGTGAAAATGTAGCATGTTTAAAAAAATACCGCGATAATACCGAAAACCGTGGTAAGTTTGGTCACAATAACCGTGAGGTTACATTTTCACACCGTGACAGCCTTAATACAGACCATTTTAGATTAGGTTACATTTCCTTTATTCCCAGATTATGTAGTTTGTAGCACTCATTACAATGTTGTAGAAAATTTCTGGCCAATCCACGTGATCGGTATCGGTGATCAGTATCGGTGATCAGCATTCTTTGATATCGGTATCGGTGATCGGCAGCAAAAAACCTGATCAGTGCATCCCTAGTATATCATGATATTAATTTTAGGCCCTATCGCCCAGCTCTAGTGTGTAATGAACGGAGGACCCAGGGAAGTATGGACACGCGGGGTTTGGTGAGACAACCGGATGGTCCAATCATTAGTTTCACACCAAGCAATGTTATTGGCTGAGGTTTTTATACAAATGTGAAAGAACCACGTGGTTATTTTTTCATTTCCACTATGCATTTATACTATGTTAGTATGTTGTTATTAAGCATGATAAATGTTTGAAGCTAGCTTGTTTTGCAGATTTACTATTGTAGCTTTAATCCCAATCTCAAGATGTCGTGCTAAGCTCAAACGGACCTAAATGCAAATATTTAATTGGACTTTTTTAGCACAATTGTTTACGTTTTAACAAGGTTATTTTATGCACAAGATACCTGCTTTATCATTAGACTCATTATATAATCTAATATTTTGTCTTATTGCTTTGAAATAAAATGTCAGCATTGCTTGGGTCCAATGTTGTGTGGTGGACGTTTTTGGATTGTATTCATTTCATTGTGTTGTTAGTATTTCACTTTATGAAAAGCTTTACTTTCACCATACGTTACAAGTGTGAGTAACAGCATGAGAACTGGGACTAGGGTGTAAAAGATGCTTAGTTTGAGGTTTTCAGCTCTGATATTGGGTCAGCGCAGGGAGAAGCAGCTCACTCTGTTTTCCTATATGAATTAATTTTTTATGACTCCACAGATGTTACGAATGAAAATAAAATGAGACACACAAAGATCCACTCAGCCCTACACATGCAGAGCTGAGCTGGTTTAAGGCATGATTATAAGGAGTTGTCAGAAGTAGGTCACTAGAATGGAGCTCAGTGAGAAACTGGGCCACAGGTTCATCTTCCCTCTGGAGATCACAGTCCAGGACCTGGTGGGCCCACTGTAGAACTAAGACAGTATGTAATGATGTCATTGGTACGTTGACTGTGTAGCGTAACATTTGTTTTATTTAGAGAACATCTAAAAGATGAAATATTGTTAAAATTATGGTTACTGATAGAAACCTAGAGATCTAATTTGGTTGAGTGATCTGACTCAGAGCAGCAACATGGGGATGGATAGTCATGCTTGAGAGATCTCATTATGTTTGTTTCTTTCCTCCTCCTCTCAGCTCACTCATGCAGATGAAACTGTTGCTGAATCTATTTCTGTTCCTTCTTATGTTCCAGAAAATCCTTTCCATCGCTGCATGCCACACTGGCATCCTTTGCTGCTGTTTATGTTTCGGTGAGTAATTGATCTCTTACAGAAACTCAACTGCTCAAGGGTGACAAATATTATAACAATAAAAGGGCTAATCCAATCATAGCCAAAAATGATCACAACATTGTTGTTAATAACAAAGATTTTTTATACACTATTTGTCATCATACCTATGCTTCTGAATGCTGGTATCCATCCATCCATAGATTCATTTTCCTTCACTTAACTGGGGTCAGGTAGTGAGGGCAGCATCCTAATCAGAGAGCTTCAGACGTCTCTTTCGCCAGCCAGTGGCTGGGGAAGCTTCACTGGGAGATTCCCAACACCAACTGAGAGACATAGTCCCTCTAGGGTGTCCTGAGTCTCCTCCCAGTTGGACGTGCCTGTAAAACCTCACCAGGGAGGCGTGCAAGAGGCACCCTTACCAGATGCCTGAGCCACCTCAACTGCCTCCTCTCGATGTGGAGGAACAGCAAATCTACATGAAGCCCCTCCCTAATGGTTAAGCTTCTCTGCCTATCTCTAAAGCCGGGGACACACCGGCCGCGGAAGCGCCGAGAAAATGGGACCGCCTTCATTCGGCGCCCTTGTTAAGCTATTATATAGAGCACATGGGCTGCCGAAGCGTCGTGAAGCGCCTCGCGCTGGCGCTCCAGCCCGCGCTGTGCAGCGATCATTTCGGCGTCGGCTCTATTTTTTTCGCGAGCCGCGGGTGAATCGCGTCAATTCTGGTAGGAAGTCAAACCTAGACATAAGAGGCAGGCCGGTAAAGTTAACAAAATAAAGCATTTCAAAATAAAATTCTGCAATAGTCAAATGTGTTCGTAATCAGACACTTCAGAAAAACCACACGAGCACACACACACATTGAACTTGTGTGCGTGTGTGACCACGTGAAGGGGTGTGTGGTTTTGGGTGTCTTTTCACCGGAGCAAACAGGACAGAGGCAGAAAGTCTGAGGCAAGCAGTTAAGATGGATGACTTTAAATTAATTATGGAAGTTGAGAAACACAATGAGCTGTACGACCCCCGATAAACATGGTTATTTACCCATTTCGGAAGAAACTGCTCGGATACAGCTGCAGAATTGGAGCGGGTTCCAAGAGATTCAACTGGCAGAAACAACTCATACCATAGGTTCACACACACACACACACACACACACACACACACACACACACACACACACACACACACACACACACACAAAAACGTAGAGGAAAAGAGCTGAGAAAAGGCAGAGAGGAAATGGAGGACACCAAGTGTTTAAAAGAAAAACTACAGCTGAGCCGAGGCGCGCCTCGACTGGGGCGCGTCTGATCTGAACTGAGGAGCGGCGAGCAGCGGCCGAATTTCGTGAGCGATTCGCTTCTCGGCGCTTCGCGGCGCTTCCGCGGCCGGTGTGTCCCCGGCGTAAGGGAGAGCCCAGACACCCTGCAGATAAAGCTCATTTTGGCTGCAATCTGCAATCTCATGCTTTTGGTCACTACCCAAAGCTCGTGACCATAGGTGAGGGTAGGAACATTGATTGACCGGTAAATTGAGATCTTTGGCTTCCTGACTCAGCTCTCTCTTCACTTCGATGTTCGGTACAACGCCTGCATCACTGCAGACGCAGCACCAATTTGCCTATCGATCTCGCGCTCCAGCTTTCCCTTGATTACAATGAATTATTGAAGGTAGATAATAGAATGTAGGTAGTGAGCTTCAGTGATTTTTGCAGCTCATTCCAGTCGTTGGAAGCAGCAAACAGAAATGCAGAGCGGCCAAAGGAGGTGTGAGCTTTGGGAATAACCATAGAGATTAAGCTACTGTAATGTAAATTGTGCTGGTTGTTGAAAGTGATGAGTAATGAGCAAAGATATGACGGTGTTCTACCGATGATTGTTTTGTATATGAACTGATGCCAATGTAACAACCTGTAGGAATGGAGGGATGGCCAGTTAACAAGTGAGTACAGATCTCAATGATGAGTAGTGAAAGGGACACCAGTGATTAAACGGATTGCTGAGTGATAAATGACATTGAGTTTATGAAGACAGTTTTTGGAAGCAGTTCTATCAAGGATGTCACCGTAATCTAAGAGGGGAAGGTTTGCTTTGCAGAATGAGTAACGGAGGACCTGTTGTGTTATAGAACCCCAATTCTTGACTTGACTTTAGAAGGCAATGAATTAATGTGAATGTTAAATGAAAGTGTGCTGTCAAGCCAGATAACCAGATAGTTATAAGAACTGCCAAGTTGTAGTTCTGTACCAGGGAAACAATGGTGGAAAGTTGATTGCAGTAAGTTACGATTGAAAATCATGAACTTTGTTTTACATGTGTTTAAATGAAGATGAAGATTGATGAAGGCATGTTTAAGACAATTAAAAGTTGTCCTGCATGGAGGACAAAGCTGCATTCAAGGAAGAATTGCATGAATATAAAATGGTGTCGCCCACAAATAAATCTATAAGAGAACTGTCAACAGCATGAGCAATGTTATAGATCTTGAATAAGGTTGGGCCCAGTATCGACCCTTGAAGAACGCCCATAGATAGAGGTAGAGGAGAGGATTGGTAACCCTCTGTTCTCACTCAGCGTATGACCTAAGATATAACTTCTGAACCAAGCCATGGATGCCTGAGAAAGTCCTTTATGTTTGAGCCTGCTAAGTAATATGTTATGGTCTACAGAGTCAAAGGCTTTAGCCAAGTCAACAAACACAGCTACACAATATTCCTTATTGTCAACGGCACATATGATGTCATTTAGCACTTTAAATGTTGCAGAGACACATCCATAGCCATTTCTGAAGCCGGACTGTATGGGGGTAATATTATTGCTGGATTCCAGATAGTGAGTTAGCTGTTTGTTGACTAACTTTTCAGTGACTTTAGAGAGGCGAGGCCAAATAGAGATAGGCCTATAACAGCTTTAAAAAGTGGAGTAACAAATGCATATTCCCAGTTCTGCAGAAATGCACCGGTTTTTATGGACAGATTAAATAATTGGGCAATAAGCACAGCATTAACACATGCTGCTATTCTTAGAAAGTAATGGTCAAGAGTATGCTGTCCAGCTGGTTTATGAGGATCTACGGGATGCCATCAGTATGTGAGGTATCTCAGTGTTCTCATGACAAAACTCTAACATGAGACTGTGCTCTAACCTGTCACATAACAAGCTAAATGGAAGTCAAACATTTCAGATGGACCGTATGACAGCTGCTAATGTTGGCCCTGCCCTGCTTTACCTCTACATTACAGTTCCTTTATCCATGTCCATCCTAGAGCTCCTCTCTGACCTTCATGCTTATTTAGAGCAGCTGATTTTTAAAGCTAGCAGAGTTCATCCTTGGTAGTGGGTTCACTCACTCATTTAACCCTTCACCACTGAAATCAGTTTGTTCATTCCAATCCTCCTAAATAATCCTCCAATCATCCGACTGGAATCCTTAAGGGTCCCGTAACGTCCATCCTGTCAGAACAGGCCTTGGGAGCCCAGGTGTTACTAGAATTAACGGTGTCTCCTCACCAGCGTGAGCCTCCGAACTGTGAAGGTTGGTCTCCAAACATGAACTTTAAATGTATGCATTAATCACCTCTTGTAACACTTTAACATGTTTTAAAAGGCTTGTATCATGATAAGTTACACCTCCCAGACCAAAGATAAGATAAAACATGATCATAGACACTATTGAGACATCATTATTTATGAAATATAAGTTATTTTCCTGAGCCATTACTTCAGCCAAGATATAGGACTGCATGGATTTGATGAAACCATGCTGTCTCATGCAGTTCTATATGTGTAACACACACACACACACACACTGCAGCATGTTAGAATCATGTGAATGACTAATTTAACTACATTGAACTGCTTTAGTAATAATTTAATCTCTTATTCTGGAGTAAAATAAAGAAACAAGCTAAATCATCACATATCTATGGCATCTTCTGAGTTCAAACACAGGGATGGAGCACAATGTTTACACCTGAACAGTATCAGGATGTTTTAACTCGCAGAGGCCTGCAGGTCTTCTGTTTTATGAGCAGAGCGCTGATAATCCGCTTGTTATGAGCGCTAAACGTTATTTTGCCGCTGCCGTGCTGAGCGTTAGAGAAACGCAATTCAAACACGGAACCGAGTCTCGCTACCGAACCGAGCAGATTTCTGATGACGTCACACCGGTGCGCGAAGGTGCGGGATCCAACACACAGGAGAGGGAGGAGAGAGGAGGTAAACAGCGAGTTGAGGAACTGAACCGATGTCTTTGAGCTAAAGTGTACACCCACACCCCCCCCACGGTTTAGACGCAGCGCTCATGCAGGTGTCTCTTTCTGTTCCAACGCTGCTACACGTAATATTTTTAATTTATTAAGCCTACAATTTATTTTTACTCAGTAACGGATATGATTTGAAATGTAGCGAATTACAATTCTTTTGTAAAAACTTACTCAAGTAAAAGTAAAAGTACAGATTTTAAAAACGACTTAAAAAGTATAAATTTACAAAAAAAACACAAACAGTGGTGGAAATAATTATTTGACCCCTCGCTGATTTTGTAAGTTTGTCCAATGACAAAGAATTTGTAAGTCTCAGAACAGTATCATTTTAATGATAGGTGTATTTTAACTGTGACAGATAGCACATCAAAAGGAAAATCCAAAAACTACATTTAAGTCAAATATAGAAAATCATTTGCATTTCATTCAATGAAATAAGTGTTTGAACCCCTACCAACCACCAAGAGTTGTGGCTAGACACTCCTACTCAATAAGTTACCCTCATTAAAGACTCCTGTCTTCACTAGTCACCTGTATAAAAGACACCTGTCCACAGAATCAATATGGACTCCAAATTCTCCAACATGGGAAAGATCAAAGAGCTGTCCAAGGATATCAAAGACAAGTTTATAGACCTGCATATGGCTTGAATGGGCTACAAAACCATTACCCCTCCTTTCTACTGGAGCCGTCAGCAGCACGTTACTGCAGCAGCACGTCTTGCTTACATAAGCTGCTGCTTGGCCCTTCC